TAAGATTGTCATAGGAGCAGTAATAAAACAAGGAAGACTTGATTCCTGTTATATCCAATCTTAAACATATTTGATTTGTCAGTAAAATTCCTCAGCAAGCTGGGAGTGCCTTGCTCCAGATGTGATAACAGAATATTTTATCATAATACAAATAAGTGTAAAGCCCTGCCCTTTACTTGCTCTGAATTTCAACGTTTCTTTATGGAATGTTCTGAATTCCTGACCCCTCTCTCTGTGTGAAATGCCTACCTCAGCTTCTTTACATAGGTCTTTTCAAAGGTGAAGATTTTTGACTTTGTTTTTGGAACTAAATCAAATGTAGTTATAATCTTGACTCTGTGTTTGAAACTGAATCAAATTTAAAAGTGTCAATGTCTTTTAAGATTCCTTCCATGAGTGTCACGCAGAACTTTCTTGCATGCTTGTGGTTTACTGGGCTGAAATTGCTTAGAAGGTGGATCTGAGTATTGTTGATGAGACAGAGAAATGCCCAGTGTCTAGACCTTCTCTCTCATACAAAGGCAGATGAAGGATCACTAGAAGGCAGCTTTTCCTGCCAGACTTGCAGCAGGAAGATGTTTAGCTCATCATGGTAATTTTCTTTTCAAATTATTTTGTATCATTGGATATACTAATGTTTTGCTACATGATCAAATATAATGTAGAACATTATAAGTAAGAAAGCAGTGTTAGAATGTAATCATCTTGTTAGCCTCAGAGATATAACATCTATCTGGGAGAAGTAACTGACTTCAATTTCTGCATCTCATATTTGACATTATTTTTTATATTTTCTTTCTTACATCCATCCCCATCACTGCTACCAACCTGGGCAATAAATAAAGTAAAACTAAAGAAAGAATGTAGTTGCAAAGGGTCGAACTGTTTCTTTTTTTTTTTTTCCCATTTATTTTATTGCATTTTAGGTTTTGGTGTACCTGTGAAGAACATGCAAAATTTTTGCATAGGTAACACATGTGGCAGTGTGATTTGCTGCCTTCCTCCCCATCACCTACACCTGGCATCTCTCCCCTTGCTATCTCTCCCTCTCCCCAGCTCCCCACCCTCCACCGTCCCTCCCCTATTTCCCCCCAACTGACCCCAGTGTGTAGTGCTCCCCTCCCTGTGTCCATGTGTTCTCATTGTTCAACACCCGCCTATGAGTGAGAACATGTGGTGTTTGATCTTCTGCTCTTCTGTCAGTTTGCTGAGAATGATGGTTTCCAGGTTCATTCATGTCCCTACGAAGGACACAAACTCATCGTTTTTGATGGCTGCATAATATTCCATGGTGTATATGTGCCACATTTTCCCTGTCCAGTCTATCATCGATGGGCATTTGGGTTGGTTCCAGGTCTTTGCTATTGTAAACAGTGCTGCAATGAACATTCGTGAACTGTTTCTTAATAATGAAAACATTTACTGTCCTTAGTATTCCATTTAAAATTGGTCAGGCTGTTTTCACAACAACACCAAAAATAAGAGTGCTGAAAAAATGAAGAAAGTTCTAAGCCACTGAAACTTTGTTTCAAATTAAAACATAAATGTTACATTTAATCTTCTTGATCGTGGAACATTAGTATCTCTTGAGAGTGTAACAAGTATTTTCACCCTCACCAGTCACCTCTCCCCATTACATACACACACACATGTAAAGAGTTTTGTAGTAATCAAGTTTGGAAAACTGCCTGCTCTCTCCGCTTTGTGATTCATAATGTGTACATGCATTTGAAACCCTCTTTGGAGTTCTAATGAAGTGGATTCTTTGACATTGTTTAACAGAGCATCATTCTCCTAGGAATACTGATTATATTTTGGTAATCACAATTTCAGAAATGCTGGACTAGAGCTATAAATAAGAATGAAGGCCCAAACTTGCAGCAACTTAAATACTGGCCCATTTAACACCTTGTGTAGACAGGGCAGTTATTAATTGTTACGGAGGTGTTATAGACCTACATGATTAGGGACATGAGCCTGATCATCAGAAATACAGCTTGAATCCAGCTTGACCACCTAATATTGTATGTTCCAGGGCAGATTGCTTCACTTATCTGCAGCTCTGATCCCTCACTTACAAAAATTGGGCATCTTAGTATGTACCTCATAGTAATATTGGGAGGAGCTGGCACATTTGAAGGCTAGAAGATCTTCAAATAGAATTTCTCTGGGAACATTATTGGAAAGTTGGAGATCTAATTAAATAACAGTCTCTTTAAAGACGGTGAATGGCTGTAGAAATGTCAACAAAATCAATTTTCTTCTTATTTTTTGGTAATTACTGGTTCACAAGAGTCTCTTTTAGATCAAAGCAGGTAGCCTCCCTGAGTCATTGTGGCATATTTCCTGGCTCAATGCAAATGTAAAAAAGGAATAAGTCTGCTTTTCTCAGTTTGTGGGGAGAATTAGTGAGACAAATGTAGTTCTGAGGGCAACAAGGGAACAAGGTACATATATATTTTTTATCATGTATTTATCTTGCTGCATTTTATATTAATGTTGACTATGATATTTACTAGTTTTTGTTCATTGCCTCTGTGCCTCCCAAATTCACATCACATATATTACAAAAAAATTACTGAGGTGGGAGAATTGCTTGAGCCCAGGAGTTTGAGACCAACCTGGGCAACATAGTAAGACTCCTATCTCATTAAAAAAAAATAATAATAATATCTATTGTATATGCACACACATATATATATATTTTTCCTTTTCACATATGAACATTTTGATTCATCAAAATGCACCATAAAGATTGGTTTAGGGAGGAAGTGGGACCCTGAGGATAGGATAAAAAGTCTATCAAGCGAGCTGTCTTAGAGGAGATGCAGAATATAATGCTGGCCACTGCTGCTGAAATGATTTGGACGCCTTTGTCCCTGAGTTGAACTGTCAAGCATTTGGTGATGTGAGCCACAGGGGAAATGCAGGCTTGGCATAGATGACAATACAAATACCTCGCATGACATTTAATATGGATGTATATATACGGCTTCTGAGACTTCTGCAAGTAGTTTTTTTTTTTTTTTTTTTTGAAAGATTCTTGCTCTGTCACCCAGATTGGAGTACAGTGGTGCAATCTCAGCTCACTACAACCTCTGCCTCCTAGGATCAAGCAATTCTTTTGCCTCAGCCTTCCAAGTAGCTGTAATTTCTACATGCCTGTAGAAATTACAGGCATGTGCCACCACGCCCAACTAAATTTTGTATTTTTAGTAGAGACAGGGTTTTACCATTAATGGCCAGGCTGGTCTTGAACCCCACCCCTGGCCTCAAGTAATCTGCCCACCTTGGCCCCCCAAAGTGCTGGGATCAAAGGTATGAGCCACCATGCCTGGCCTACAAGTAGCTTTTTCCATAAGACTATGTTTTAGTCCATTTGCATTGCTATAAAGGAATAGCTGAGGATTGGTAGTTATAAAGAAAAGAGGTTTATTTGGTTTATATGATTCTGCAGTCTGTACAGCAAGCATGACACCAACATGGCTTCTGATGAGGGCCTGAGGAAGCTTCCACTCATGCCAGAAGGGGAAGGGGAGCCCTCGTGTGCTGAGATCACGTGGGGAGGAGAAGAGAGAGAAGGGGGAGGTGCTCTTTTCAACAACCGGTTCTTGCTCTTTTTAGCAACCAGTTCACAAGAGAACTAAGAGTGAGAAGTCACTCACTCCCAAGACAGTGGCACCAAGCCATTCATGAGGGATCCCCACTGTGATGCACACACCTCCCACCAGTCCCCACCCCCCACACTGCAGATCAAATTTCAACACGGGACTTGATGCGGCCAAACAAAACATAACCAAACCACAGCAGAGTGTTTGTCCTGTATTTCAGATACTGCTAGAAGCATGGGTTTTGAGAAGATGTGGGTGTGAATTATGTCGGCCGTTAAGTGAAAATAATTTTGAAAAATGGGCGTAAAATTGTGCAGATATGTCTCCCACACATATTTGCTTCCTTCATACCCCTTCGTTGCAGTGAGGCCCTTATTGCTGGCAGTAGTGATAGTCTCGAAACCATGAAGCATTGGTTCTTGCCAAATCTGAGAAGAGAACAACAATTCTGCTTTATTCAATCATAAAAAAACCCAGCATATGTATTTTGGCAATGTTCTTTTTTTTAAAAAAATTAATAACTATTTTAGGTTCAAGGGCACACATGCACGTTTGTCATATAGGTGAGCGATTTGAAACAGAGGTTTGGTGTGCAGATTATTTTATCACCCAGGTAATAAGTACAGTACCTGAAAGGCGGTTTTACAGCCCTTATCTTCCTCCTATTCTCCACCCTCAATGGACTCAATGTCTCAAAACTGATATTTTTTTCAGATCCTCCTGTATATTGGATGTTGTGCTAGGCTGAATTCTCGTATTAGGGAAATACAGCAAACACACATTTTGTTTATTCAAGAAATATTGAGCACCTGCTATATGCCAGACCCCGTATTTGGTCATGGAATATGTTACCGCACTGAACAAAAAGACAAAAATAAAAAGAAAAAAGGCAAGCAAAAATTCCTTTTATCGCGGGGCTCATACCCTAGTTGGCTAACTGGGGACAATATAAACAACACAATAACCAACATAAGCAAACTGTAGATAAATTAGATAACGATGAGTATGTGCTAAGGATGAAACATAGAGCAGGGAGTGAAGAATGGGAGAAGGAGCTGAAGTTATAGACAGGGTGGCCCAGAAAGGTCCTGTGAAGACTGTGATGTTTCAGTAAAGAACCAAGGACGTCAGAGAGTGAGCCCTGTGGATATCTGGGGAAGAGGCCTGGGTAGGAAGCACGGCTGGCATGTTGGAGGAAAGGCTGGGAGATGGAATGGCTTGGACCAGGTGAATGAGGGGCAGAATAGCAGGAGATGAGCTCACAGGAGCGACAGAGAACTAAGCCACAATGAGCCTTGTCCATCCTAGAAAGACTCAGGCTTCCACTCTGAGATAGAAAGGCATTAGGAGATTTTTTGTTTGTTTAGGTTTCCTTATTTATTTTTGCAGGAGAGAAAGATGTGACTTCTATCTAAACAGCATCACTTCAGCTGTGAGTGTGGTAATTAGAGGGAAGGAAGAGGAAGATGGAAGTGGGGGGCCATTCAGGAGGCTACTGCAGGAATCCAGATGAGTGATGAAGGTGACTTGCTATAAGTCAGGGTAAGTAATAAGTGATCAGACTTGGAGTACATTTAAAAAGTATATCCAGGAGGACTTTCTGGTGGGTTAGATGTGGAAAAGAGGAATGCCAATGTCTTTGAAGCTTTCAGTCCAAGCAAAGGATGAGATGAAGTAGACTGACAGACAAGCAGGTCTGGGTGGGGTGGTGAGATCACCTTCACTCACGCTGAGCTTGCGGTGCCCGTTAGGCAAGTGGCTGTGTCAAGTAGGTGAGTGGATATAGAAGCCTGGAATTGTAGTTTAGAGATAACAATCTGTAAGTTGGCAGCCTAGAGATAGTATTTAAATCAATAAATTGGATGAAATCATCTAGGAATAAATGTTGATACAAAAGATAAAAAGTCAAGGGGTACACCCTGGATCTCTTCTAAAACTAAAGATCTGGAGAATTGGAGAAACCAGGAAAGGTGAGTGAGAAGGAGTGATTTGTGAGGTAGTAGGAAAACCAAGACAGGATGTAGCTAAGTGTAGAAATTCCTGGGGGAGAGGCATGGAAGAAGGAGGGTGTGTGTGTGTGTGTGTGTGTGTGTGTGTGTGTGTGTGTGGGTGTTATGTATGCTATATCAACTGTATCAAATATAAGTTGTAGAAACTAAATTGAGCACTGCATTTAGCAACATGGAGGTCATTTGTGATCTTGAGAAGCACATATAAAACAAAAATAATGAAGCACAGATTAAATGACTAGTGTGTGGTAGAGCCCCTGCATGTGAGAACAACTTAAAGGACTTGTAAAATGTTCAGATTCCTGGATCCTATTCCCTACAGAATTAGACCTATAACTCTAGAATGGTGCCTGGGAAGTCTTCTTTTAAAAATGTGCCATTTCACTTAGATGACCAGCCAGATATTGAATTCCCCACTGTAGGTGCTTCACAGTCAAGAGAAAATATTAATCACACTCGGCAGTAGAATGTTTTCTAATGCAGAAAAGTTACAGTTGAATGGGCAAAGAAAAGCTAGGAAACCTTATTACTACCTCATGAGCAATGCAGCCAGTTGACCATAATAAATAAGGAAAAGGAGCTCATATTTCTCTAAGAAGCTCAAATTAGGGAGAGAGGATTTGGGAAAAGGATGTTGAAGCTGAAAGCGGCAAACTGCAAGTCCAGCTAAGTCTGTGTAAGGAATGAAGAGTCACAGAGGGTATCCGAACCTGAATGGGACATTATGAAGTTGATATTTTGTGAACATTATGCATGGTAGCAATTTTAAGGAAAAGAATTGGAAAAACAACCCATTGTAAAGGTTACCTTTCATCTCTAATGTTGATGTTACTCAGTTTTTTGTTTCTTTGTGGACCTCAGTTTTAGGATTTTTACTATCTTTCTGGCCACTGCCGCATCTTTGCAGTTTCTGTCATCACTCTCTTTTCTGCCATTTTTTACACTTTTCTTGAATAGTAATTCTCAAACAATAAGTGCTAATGTTCCAATAAGCCCACATCTTTTTATTATTTTTATGTCATTGAGTATAAAATATATTTGTCAGACAGAACCCTGAGCAGAGTGGATCTTGCATTGGAATATAACAGAGAGAAAGTAAGAGGCAAAAGGAGGGTGATGGTACAATCTGTCATCCATGCAGGGACACTTTTGGGAGTAAGAAAGAGTGCCATCAACAATAACATCAGGACAACAGGAAGGAACTGGAATTATTTAGGTGAATTGGGACATATGGACACCTAGGAGCTACATGCTTTAAAGCTAAGTTTAATGCTAGAAAGAATGCTCTGCTTATGGAACTTATGAGAACTTTGCCTTATGAATTTATTGAGTGTATCCTGGGCTGCAAATAGCATTACTTAAACAGCTGCTAATGGGCAACAAGACAGGTAGTGCAGGAAATGTGGATACTTTCAGATTAACTGTAAAATATGGAGGCTCTTTCATAGTGGTTGTGCCTTATGATTATGTGGACTATTTACACTATTTTGGGGTTTATACTTTATATGCCTCAGCTGTATAATTATGGTAAAGGTTATAATCCCTTCTAATATGCTGCAGAAACTTCTACTATTTGGAAATCTGCAGTGAGCACAAAAGGAATGAGTACAACTAACGTTCCCCAGGTAATTACTGAGAGTAGTTCCTCTGAAGGTTTGTTAAGATAATAATAATGTAAACTCCTGCTAAACACTTCCACTCACTTCTAGGAAACTCCTCATAGTTTGCATTTCCTCTGTCTTCAGACATCTTCTGGTATCTCCTAGCCTGAATAAGAAAATCTCAGAGTGACCCTGACAACATTTCTATGTACCTTTTCTTTTCAACAATTGCCACATGATTACTGAATCTAATGACACATTTTAAATTCATGCTGTTTGATGGCCTCACAACATTTTTATGCCATTGATCTCTACCCTTCTGAAAATTTTCTTTCTGTGAAACATTACTATTTGCTTCTGCTTAAACCTTCTAGAACTGCTTCATTGATGCTTTTTTCTCCTTAGTTACCAAAGCTCTTGGTATTGTGTGTAATTCTGTGTATATTCTTGATGTTCTTCTTCTCTAAATTATTTTTTATTCTACCGTAGAGGTTTCAATATCATGTATGTTATGCAGATGACCCCAAATCATAATGAGTTTACTGTTTTATTTTAAATTCTGGGGTATATGTGCAGATGTGCAGGTTTGTTACATAAGTAAACATGTGCAATGGCGGTTTGCTGCACCCATCAACCCATCACCTAGGTATCAAGCCCAGGATGCATTAGCTATTTTTCCTAATGCTCTGCCTCCCTCAATTAGGCCCCAGTGTGTGTTATTCCCCTCCATGTGTCCATGTGTTCTGATTGTTCACCTCCCTCTTATAAGTGAGAATGTGCAGTGTTTGGTTTTCTGTTCCTGCCTCAGTTTGCTGAGGATAATGGCTTCTAGCTCCAACCATGTCCCTACAAAGGACATGATCTTGTTCATTTTAATGGCTGCATAGTATTCCATGTAACACATTTTCTTTATCCAGTCTATCATTGATGGGCATTTGGTTTGATTCCATGTCTTTGCTATTGTGAATACTGTGGCAATGAACATGCACGTGCATGCATCTTTGTAATAGAATGATTTATATTCCTTTGGGTATATACCCACTAATGGGATTGCTGGGTCAAATGGTATTTCTGGTTCTAGATCTTTGAGGAATTGCCACACCATCTTCCATAATGGTTGAACAAATTCAATTCATTATTCCCACCAACAATGTAAAAGCATTCCTATTTCTCTACAACTCTGCCAGCAATGAATTTTCCTAATACCTGCACTAGCTTATCCCAAGCAAAAATCATCCTGTTTTTTGCATGACCAGTCCCCACATTCTAATTCCCTGCACACTTCTCTACAAAAATTGACTGATGGATACTTTGTGACTGAATAGTTGGCATTTCACACATTCACACTGTTTTTTCATTGTCAAAAAAGTAACAGTCACAGGAGAGTTTTCATCTTCTAATTCTGCCTCAGAAATTCCAGGGGCACTAGTCAATTCATAATATCTTAATCACAAGGAATGGGCAATGCAGAACTGGGGCACCTTCCCTACACAGAGACAAAGATTGACTCTATAAAAGCTTGCAGTATAGAGCTGCTGAACAGAATACATAATTCACATGGGCAGCTGGTACCTAAGAGAAAGAGGAGAGAGGATTAAACTTGACTTGTCCGGTTTGCTTCTAAAAGTCACTGGCCACATTAAATCATAGAGACTAGGAGAGCTGTAAAAAGGGCATTTCATTCACATTTTAAAAGGCGGGGGGAATCTCCTGTCAATAGTCCTAGTTTTAATTTTTTTTTAACTCATTGGGCAAATAGTTGGAAACAATAATCAAATCTACCACGTGATCCAAAAACAACATGGTAGTAATAAGGTGCCCCACATTTGATCATAAAACTGAATCTCATGATCAGATTGTCAAGGAGAATGAAAAGTCCAAAGTTAAAGTTTCTAAAATTCAAAATCCAAAGTAATTCAAATCCATAATCAATCTTCCTGCCCTTGTATGCTAATTTCACAGGAATTAAAATCCAAAATTCATCAACCACCCCAACTTCCTGTTCTGCCCAGTCCCGTCCAGATGGTTCTCAGTGCCTAAGGAGTGCTATGATTTCTTCAGCAGCTGCAGCCAAGTCCGTCTCAAGCCAAATCTCTCATGCCTCACTTGACAGTTCCAAAAGACTACCTGAGAACTGGCCCCACTCACCCACCAAATTTAGAAAACAAGTCAATCTCCAGGCCCCTGGGCCAACTATTTCAGACAAAGATGTGTTTACAACTTAGTGGAAACCCACCATCCCAGTGCTGCCAAAGATCTTAACAGAAACTCATGGCATCAGAGAGATAGAGGATAGGTGGGAAAAAACTAGATTTTTGCAAGGAAAGAGAAAGCACAGAGGTAGGCCAGGTGTTACGCTAGTGCAGCTCCTTTCATGTGGAAGGAAACATTAGGAGTAGGGAGAAAGTGTCCTTCTCACCAACAAAAATTAAAAGTTCAGCATATCATTTCCTTAGGACAAACCTGTTTTGTGATTATTTTCTGTCTCTTGATGTATGTCCACACTTCAAGTAATGGAGTATTTTCATGGCTAAATTATAAATGTTGTTTTCATAAAACATTAGCTGGGCATGGTGGCATACACCTGTCATCCCAGCCACTCAGGAGGCTGAGGCAGGAGAATTGCTTAAACCTGGGAGGTGGAGGTTGCAGTGAGCTGAGATCGCATCACTGCACTCCAGGCTGGGCGACAGAGCAAGACTCCATCTCAAAAGAAATAAAAATAAATGTTGTATTCATAGATGTCAGCTCTAGTTCATTTATCCAAACTCAATAAATGACATATTTATTTCTTGATTTTCTTTCATGCAAGAAGCAATAAGAAGCTCATATGATATCTGAACACAAGGGAAATTGCCTATTGTTTCAAAACTATAGAAACATTCAAGTTGTATTTAATAATAGTTATTTAATTATTAGCATGTTGTCTCTCAAGTGAGTTCACTTCCTGGGGCCAGTCTCTAAGTCAGCAATAGTTCCTGAAGAGAAATCAATGCTTTGGCACTTTTGAATTTAACCTTGATTCCTTTATCAAAAACAGATAATCATAAATGTTCTGTAATAGGATTAGTAACCTTTTTCTGTGAAGGGCCTGACAATATGAACCCTGTCGCAATTACTAAACTCTAATTTTTAGCAAAAAAGAAGCCACAGATGGTACGTAAATGAATGAGTGTAGCTATGTAACAATAAAACTATTTACAAACGTGAAATGTGGCCTCTTGGGCATGGTTTGCTGACCACTGTTCTACAGGGATTAGTTTAGGACTCAGTGAGATAATGTGCCTAAAACAATGTCTGACACAAGATAGGCATTCAATAGATGCAAGCATCCCATCTTTCTTTTCATTAGAAGAATTCCTCCTGGGCCTTGTAAGTATTTTAGACAATTATACATATTCTTTTCATCTTAGGAGCCCCCAAAGCTTAAAAAGAACAATTATCATAGTTTCAAGGTATTTGGATAATTTTAAAGTTTGTTGCTTAATTATTGTTGCAAGAGTTCAATAATGCTTGGACCCAGGATATTAAATTTAAAAAATATGTATACAAAGAAATTAATTGTTTTTAAGCAGATTCTGAATATGTCAAACTGCTATTTAATTAAGTTTCTACCTATAACATAAAAACTAGTGTGATATGTAGTAGTCTTCCCAGAATGAAACATTGAAAAATAATTATGAGGATAAGCTGGTTCTTTGAAACAATTTTTTAACTAAAATAAATTTTGTCTTCTTTGCTTCCTAAACCAGTAATTTCCTCCCTTTTAAAATAACAGAATAGAAATCTACACAAAATTTGTTATAGAGAATTTGACCAAGCCCTTGATGTATTATGTATTAAACACATATACAAGTTTATGTATGTGTGTGTATATATACTTTCTACCCCTGTGCAAAATATACAGCATTATCTTCCCCAATTTTAAACCATCACAGTGTTTTACTTTTCATGTATAAGACTTCACAACCTCAACTAACTGATCTCAATTCTGCCTGCATATTTGAATCATCTGGGAACCCATAAAGCCACCAAAGCCAGGACGTTTTCTCCAAAGATTCTGATTTAATTTGTCTGGGAAATGGTTCTGCACTCACATTTTTAAAAAAGACTCCCCAGCTGTTTCTCTATATTGGCAGCCCAAGTTGCTGAATCTGGCTCTGTACACTGAGAGAAAAAGTAGAAAACTGATTCTGAGAGACTGCTCCTCTTACACCAGACATCAGATTACTGATTTTTGCTGACCTATCACTAAGTAACTATAAGTAATTTTAAAGAACAATTACAAAAGTATGTCAATTCACAACATCAAAATTTAAAGGACATTTCTAAGACATAGACATTCCAGCTGTTTTAGCTTCATGTGATGTCCTTTCCACAGCCAAGTTTTGGTAAGCATACGAGCTGCAGGAATATTCTAGGCTTGCTGTAGCTTCAGTAATTTTATGTAAGCCCCTTAAACAAATGGATAGATATATTTTCTAAGTGTGAAAACAGTTGTGACTTATTTGCACTTTAATTACTAAAGGCAATTAATTTTTCCTGGCTAAAAATTAGCCTAGAAAACAGGTTAGGCTGCCAGTCACAGAATAAATATTAATATTGATTGGCATTCCATCTTAGTATTGCTTTAGATTGCTGTTAAATACAAGGATTTTTATACAATATGAATTTAGGAAGTTGGACCAGATTGGAGGAAAGGAGGTGGAGAGAGTGCAAAGAACAGGCGTTTATGCCTAGAAAGGCTTTGGGTATAATTCAGTTCGCTGGCAGCTGGACTACTCTTGCTTTGGTCAAACTCCAGACAACACCTGCTGGAGCTTCAAAAACA